GCGCCTGGGAACCCATATCTTTCCAGCTTTTCTGACTCTGCTTTCCTCTCTGGTCATCTCACTCTGGGGCATCCTTCCCAAGATGGCTGCTGGCAACCCTGGTCTTCCATCCTCCCCACTGGGACAGAACTTCCTTTTCTCAATAGCCTCAGTGAAATGTCGGGCACTGGGCCTCCTTGGCTTGGTGGGGATCATGCACCCATCCCTAAACCAGTGGCTGTGGCCATGGAAGTGGGATGATCTGATTGGCTGGGTCTGGGTCACTTGCTTCCACCCTCCCTGGGGCAAGGGTCAACCTCCTTCTTGATCCACTGAGATGAACTAAGAGTGGAGGAGGGAAGCCCAGAATTCTAAGAGAAGAGAAAATGGACAGTAGAGTGCCCAAGTGGTAGAAGGCTTCTGCATAATCTGCCAATCAGCACGTCTTCACAGAGTTGTAGGGGGAACAGGTGACACCCACCCTTTCAACCTCCTGAAAAGGAGCCTCTGGGAGACTTTGGTTATCACTGTGGCGCAGATGGGAACATGACCACGCAGAGAGGTTACGTTATTGCCCGAGATTGCACAACGGTAATTGGGGGGGTGGTAGGGTTTGGCTGGGGGCATCTGTCCCAGGGTTGGCACTCTCTGAACCTCCACACTGGTGGCAGGGACAATGGAAATGCAGCGTGGCCCAGACTTGAGGACCCAGGAGCTTTGGGGGGGCAGCGATAGGATGAGCTGTAAAGAGTTAGCACTGGGGCCCAGCAAGCCCTGGTGCCCCAGGCTTGGCCCCAGCTCCCTGCCTCCACCCCACCCTGGGTGCAGCAGGGGCACTGCCACAACTCCAGCCAAGCCTGCGCCAGCCCTGCCACAGTCTGGGAGCTGAGACGTGGAACTGGCTGGGGAGCTGGGGTAGCAAGGTGAGGACAGGAGAGGAGCAAAGAGAGGAGGGAAGGCCGGAGTCAGGAGGCTCCTTTGAGCCCCGAAACCACAGAAGCCACCATCAATGATGAGGCCTGGGCCTCCAGTAGAGGTCTCACCTGGAGGCAGCTGGTGGGCAGCTCTGAGGCTCCTGTTCTGGAGACAGCACCCTGACCCCACGTCCTTATCAGAAGCAGCTCCGAAAGTTTTGTTTTATTTATTTTTTTATTGTGATAAAATACACAATAACACAAAATTTACCATTTTAACTATTTTTAAGTGGTCCATCCGATGGCATTAGGTACATTCACGTTGTTGCACAAACATCACCACCGGATTCTGGAGAACTTTTTCTTCATCTCAAGACTAAAACTCTGCCCATTAACCAGTGACTG